CCCCCCCCCCCCCCCCCCCCTTGTTCCCAGCTCAGGAAGAGACAGTGGGCTTAGGCTGTGTGGCACAGACCGCCTGACATTTCTAGGTTAAGCAGACATTTTACACTCTGCTCTGTTGAAGCATTCGATCAGAGGTGGGTAGGGTGGGGGTCTTGTGCAGTGAGGCGGAGGGAATTGAGTCTTAGGGAACACAGCCACTGTGCTGAGTGGAAAGCCAGAGCTGGCACCTGAACCCCTACCTTCAGCATTCTGGCTCCCCTCATGTTCTCCAGGTAGTCCTAGCTCTGAGCTTTGTTGTTTTATGTTTTCAGGGTTTATTTCTTCAGTTTCTAGCTAGTACTTAAATTTGTTCACCTTGGTTCCATACAAGGACCATCTCCCACCTTTTAGCTGATAGTCATTGCCAGGTTTGGTTGGGGTTTGGTTTTTTGGTTTTTGTTTTTGTCAACTTGACACAAGTTAGAATTATCTGGGCAAAGAAACTTCAGTTGAGAAAACACTTCCACCCAATTGTCTGTAGACAAGTCTGTAAGGCATTTTCTTGATTAATGAGTGATATGAGAGGGCCCAGCCCAGAGTGGCCAGTGTTGCTCCTAGGCCCAGGTGGTCCTAGATAATATGTATTTTCAAAAGCAGGTTGAACAAGAGAGTGAGGGAGCCATCAGCTTCATGGCCTCTGCCTCAGCTCCTGCCCCCAGGTGCCTGCCCTGACTTCCTTCCCTCAGCAATAGACAGGGATGTTGAACTGTGAGCTGAAATAAACCCTTTCCTTCCCAAGTTGCTTTTGGTCATGGTATTTATCACAGCAATAGAAACCCTAAGACTTGGGCTCCTTATTATTAATTTAAAAAAAAATCCCCTAGTCTTCACACTTTCAAAAACTGTCTTGTGGGTAAATTTCCATAGTTAAACTGCCTGAGTGTCATCAACATGAACCTTCTGGAAGGTTCTGAAGGTCAGGAATCCAGGTTCCAGGGGCACTGCCACTTCTCCTGGAGTGTCAAACACAGTGCTGTGGTCACACATCAGAAACCCTTGCTGTAGTGCATGGAGCCTGAACCAGATTGGATCAGCAGATAGCAGTTGCTCAGTTCTGAAACTGAGTCGAATGCCCTTTTGTTCCCATTCACAGTCGGTCCACTCTCTCATCAGTGACTTCAAGGACCCACCAACTGCTAAATACCGGGCTGCACATGTGTTCTTCACAGACTGTAAGTACCCTGCTCACCCAGGTTGGCATTTCCTCACAACACCACTGAGCCCTGGCCAAGTCAGGGCAGCAGCAGAAGTGTGCTGTGCCCCCTTGAGAAGAGGAGTGGTGTAAGATATATGCGCACACACCCACACTCTCTCTCTCTCTCTCACACACACACACACACACACACACACACACACACACACACACGTCCCCCTACCAAAAGAAGTGGTTTATCTGATGAACCCACCATGCTCCTCTGGGAACAAAGGATTTCCTGCTGAGAAGCCATTCTGATGTCCCTATAGCCTGTGGGCTGTTTCCATCTTTCCATCAGGTCTTCAGACCATGAGAGTTCCAAAGTTGTTGCCCCAGAGTTAGTTTTCTGATTTTGTGCAGTTTTGTGTATGGATAAGCTGTTAAGTAGCGACAGAGGATAAAGTGGCAGACTTCACCAGATCTTCTGCCTCAGGATAACCCCACAGGCCACCCCTGAGAATACAGCAAGGGAGTAGCAAGGAATATAATAACCTTGAGATGACAAAAGAAGCAGGGAGACAGCACTGGGGACTGTCAACCAGCAAGATGCCCCCGAACCTCAGCTATCTTTCTGGTCTGGAGGGTCTCACGGCCTACCAGGGGCCTCGGTTCCCCTTGTATCTTCTCTACTTCACTGTACAAACACCAGACATGTGGTGCTGTCTTCCTCCCCCTTTCTTAATGACTTGCGTTGGTCTCCTCCCCTGGGCATCAGCAGATAGTTTTCATTAGCCCTTGTATCTCTGTCTGCTGCTGTTTGCTGTGTTGAGGGCCTGCAGGTAGTTTCCCATTTCTTCTGTACCTCAAGGTTCGTCTTGAGGGTGGAGTGAACTTACTAGGTGCCTTTTTAAAGTCTGAGTAAAGTGAAGGACGCAGTGACTGAGCTGTCAGATGGACGGAAACCCCACTGTCTTCTGTCATTCTTGCAGCATGTCCAGATGCCCTGTTTAACGAGCTGGTAAAATCTCGAGCAGCCAAAGTCATCAAGACGCTGACGGAAATCAACATTGCATTTCTGCCCTATGAGTCCCAGGTGCAGTCTGTTTCCTTGTTACTCCATCGGCGTTGGAAGGGCAGGGGTCATATTCTCAATCGCCAAGTGATGTTCTGTGCGGGTGTCTATTTAAGGGGAATCATCTGTGGCATCTGCCCAACACCGTCATCTCAGTCACCTGCTGTTGCTGGCTCTACTGCTCACTGTGCTCCTTGTATGTGTCACCACTGATCACTGACTCCTCGAATAACCCAAAGTAGTGGTTCCTAAAAGAGGGGAGGGGAGGAGAGGCAGAAAGCAGAGCACCCATCTGCTGCAAAGGAGTCTGTTTTATTGGCGTTAACCCCAGTTTGTCATGTGCTGAGAGAACAGATGGTCACCTCCGTCATTAGCATTTCACTTACCCTCACCCGAAGTCCTGTCAGCAAAGTCCTCCCTGTGGGGATAAACCACAGCGGTAAAGCTGACTGTGAGAACATACATACATACATACATACATACATACATACATACATACATGCATGAGTATTGTGAGGACTTGTCCAATGTTTTCTCCTGGCAAAGGGAATCAGGAGCCCCAGAATGTGTTCTGTAGTGATGAAAGATGTCTACTGGGTCTTTATGGATCAGCCACTAAAACTGGAGTTTTCTTAGAGATATGTGGGGCTAGGAGTGCAGCTCAGGTGGTACATTGTTTGCCTAGAGTGCACGAAGCCTTGAGCTGGCGTTTTATAAACAGCCTGGTGGCACAGGTCTGTGTTCCCAGCACTTGGGAGGTAGATGGAGGCAGATCTGGAATGGAAGGTCATCCTCAGTTATATAACAAGTTTGAGGTGAGCTAGGGCTACATGAGACCCTTTCTTGAGAGAGAGTGCATGAAGAGTCAAAGCTGGCTCTTTGCCTCTTTGCTTGTCCTGAACCTGACTCCTGCCGGAGGGTTGTATATATTTACTCCCTTCCCATTCAAACACCATCATCACTGAATTAAACAGAATTCAGCTTTAGCACATACAGCTTATTATATTTCAGAAAATAATGAAATGAGAAATAGTAAGTTTTTTTAACAAATATTTTTATTTATATGCATTGGTGTTTTGCCATGGGTGTCAGGTCCCATGGACCTGGAGTTACAGACAGTTGTTAGCTGCCACGTGGCTGCTGGGAATTGAACCCAGGTCCTCTGGAACAGCAGTCGGTACTCTTAACTGCAAAGCCATCTCTCCAGCCCCAAGTTTTAAAAATCACTTTTTCAAAAAAAAATTCACTTTTTACCTGGCTTAGTGCCCCCCCACCACCACCTTTAATCCTGGATTCAGGAGACAGAGTTGGGCAGATCTCTGTGAGTTTGAGACCAAGCTGGTCTATAGAGTGAGTTCCAGGACAGCCAGGGCTGTATAGAGAAACCCTTCCAAAAAGGAAAGAAAGAAAGAAAGAAAGAAAGAAAGAAAGAAAGAAAGAAAGAAAGAAAGAAAGAAAGAAAATCACTTTTTAAAGCAAACACAGTCTCATTCCTATAATCCCTGCACTAGGATTCTGAGGTAGGAGAAGTACCTCAAATCAAGACCAGTCTGAGCTAAGCAGTGAGTTCCAGGTCAGCCTGAACTACAGAGTAAGGTCCAGGCT